TTGCCGGCCATTATGGATGAGTTCCATACGGACCAGTACCACGTCTCCTGGATTCCTGCTGTTTTTCAGCTGATGAAGGGTATTTTCACTATCCCGGGTGGCTTTGCCTTAGATATCTTCGGCTGCGCTCGCTGCCTTCGCGCAGGTGCACTGGTGGTCTTGGTATGTTCAGCCCTGTATCCCATGGCTCCCAGCCTGTGGTGGCTGGCGAGCCTTCAGGGTGTTTACGGGGTGGCATACAACCTCAGTGGCATTGCACCATGTATTGTTTTCTTAACTTCGTGGTTTGAACAGCAGAGAGCATTGGCCATTGCCATCCTAACAACTGCCTTCAGCATGGCTGGCGTCTGCTTCCCTCCCCTGGTGGGGAGCCTGATCCAACATCACGGGTGGCGCATGGCCTCGTCCTTGGGGCCTGTTCTGATGGTTTTTCTGGTGCTTCCGCTCGCCTTCTTGGCCCTCCGTGATGGCACCCTCCTGCGCCCACGGAGCCAGAGACAGCATTGCCAGGCAGCCGTAAGCTTTGATTCAGCTCATTGCCAGTACTGTCTTGGTGCTGTGGTTTTCATGCAGCAACTGTGTCTGCTGCTGCTGCTGCTGCTGCCATTGCTGTTGCTGCTGCTGCTGCTGCCATTGCTGTTGCTATTGCTGCATAATTGTGATCGCCATCATCATTGCCAGGTTGTGCGCTAAAACTTGCTCATCCAACATCGACTGGCAACTTGCAGTATTCCTTCTTTCGGTTTGTCTGCACGGATCATTCCCTTACTCAGTGAAATCAACGGCCTTGGGCTCTTGTCGCCCCAGAGCCCCGTGAGCCACGTACCTCTTTCTCCCTAAGCTTGCAAGAAACTGACAGTATAATATAATATAATATAATATAATGTGATATATATATATATATATATTAAAATAATATAATACAATATATAATCATATAATATAATATGCTATACCATAATATAATCTAATAGGTCGTGCGGCGGCCCGGCGATGACAGCGAGGAAGTAGAAGATGACCAAAGTACGCCCCGAGAGCCAGGACCCCGAAATCCAAGTTCGTTGAACTTCCAGCAAAGCCTCCGACTCGGGGCAGTGTGGCACCTGGCCTTCCTGTCACTCTATCAGCTCTACATTATCATCGCTCTACTGAATACCTTGGTCCTGTACCTGAAGACAGACGTTGGGATGAGCGTCGAGCTTTGCGGCCTCTACTCGTCTGTTGTCTTTCAGGCCTCGATTGCAGCCAAGCTTTTGGCTGGGGCTGCCATGGACTCTCGTCAGGCTTTGACAGGCATGGTCAGCTTCTTCGTGCTTTTGATCGGAACCCTCCTCCTGCTGGACTTTGCGAAAGGGGGCCGGGCCCTGACGTCCAATCACAACCAGCTGATGGCCTTCGCAGTGATTTATGGTCTTGGCTTCGGGGGTTCTTACAGCGTGCTGTCAGCCAAGCCTGCCAAGATGTTCCTGGGCCCTTGTTGGATACAACTTTACATTTCTGTAAAATGATAATTTTTAATGTGGCCCCAACACGGAACCAGGTTCGGCAAGATGGACGACTTTGGCAAGCTCCAGGGCTTCTTCATGCTCTTCCATGTCATCGGTGGTTTCTTGGGCACGCTCGTCACGGGACGCTCAGCTGCATTAAGCTTTGCAGTTTTTTGGCGATGCTTTGCATGTTGTGTTCTGGTACGACTGCCTGGTGCTCCATGAGGCAAGCTGCGTGCTCTGACGGGAAGCTACACCACCTCTTTCCACATATACATTGTCATGGCATTCATGGCTTGCTTGCATTACATTGGCCTTGAGTTGTCCAAAACGTCCCGAGAGCTCAGGGTCCAGGTAAATCCTGAGCGGCTCTGATCACTGTCGCAGCACAGCAAAGCTGTGCAGGACATAGAATTTGGAGGGCCTCCGGGCTTCGTGCCCATTCTGGCAGCAGAAAGAAGCTCCGTGCCCCTTGCAGGGCATCCTTCGAAGCCTCGATTTCCCTTCTACCAGTGTCTCCTGACGACCTAGATGCTCCGTCAACCCTGCATCCCAGGGCATTCAGCTCGCCGACATCGAGACCAAGGTCTCTGCAGAGACCTTCTTCTCGAACCCTGCCGAGGCATGGCCAGTCGGACTGCAGGGCGTTTAGGGTTTAGGGATCAGTGGAACATGGCCAGGTCCGCAAGACGTACTACAGGCAGGTGTGCGACATTATTCAGAAGGATGCTTGGCTTAAAAATGACGAAGCATCTCCTTCCTTCGGTTCTCGTTGCTTTGCTCTCACTGCTCAGCCTGCAACGTTAATACTAAATCATATGTATGCATGTGTGTACGTATGTATGTATGCATGCAGGCATGCATACATAATTACATACATATATACACGAAAAA